GAGATGGCTGCCTCTTGGGTAACATATCCTTAGCCCCTCCCCTTCATGCAACTAAGGTCAGTGGGAGGGGTAACTGGCTGCCCCCCCTCCCGCCCTTTGACTCCTTCCAAGGAGTGTGAGAAGAAGGTGGCAATATAGCTTGACGCCATAGTGGTCTGAGGAGCTTCCAGGTAACACATGAATAGAAATGAGGTGAGACAGTAGCCTGTGAGAGTAAGAACAACACAAAAAGTGCTCCAAGAACAAAACTAAAGGGTGTATTTCTCATTGGTGTCCCAAAGTGGGGGGAGAGAGAGGAGAAAGAGAGAGAGAGAGAGAGAGAGAGAGAGAGAGAGAGAGAGAAAGAGAAAGAGAAAGAGAAAGAGAAAGAGAAAGAGAAAGAGAAAGAGAGAGAAAGCATGGAGAGGGGAGTAAGAACTTGACCTGAGCTCCACACTGGGAAAGAAGAAGCAGGAAGCAGGGGCAGGTGACATCCACTCAGAAGCTGTCAACAGAGAGGGCAGCTTAGGTTTTTCAGCTGGGACATCATTGAAGTAGGCCAGGAGATCCAGTGACTCAGAGGAAATGACAGCAAAGCTGAAGGGGAACTTGTGGTTAAAGATGTGCATTAAAGGCCTTACACTGGTATCTTTAAAAGTAACAGAAGCTTAGAATACTTCTTTATAAACTCAGAAGGAAATTCCCTTTAAATATAACAGCCAGGAGGGGTGGTGTGTTCTTATATTCACAGGAGGCTGAGGCAGGAAGGTAGCAAATTCAAGTCACACACAACATAGCAAGATCCTATCTTTGAAATAAAATTAAAAGGTCTGGATATGTTGTTTTTTGGTGGCATATCTGCCTAGCATGTTTAAGAAACAGAGACCAAAGCCAAGGCCCTAAATAAATGAAGCAAGCAACAACTATAATTCCAAACACAAGCTATGAAGAGGAGCCACTGAATAGAATAAAGACTCAGATGCTGAAGAAAATAAAGACTCTGATGAAGCCTGGGTATGGCTAAGGTACTATTAATTCCTGTGAGTGAAGAAGTTTTCCCAAGTCAAAAGGTTTGATTCTTGGCAAATCATTGAAGCCTACCTCACGAGAGTAATATTTCTGGGAAATTAAATAATCTCTAAACTCCATCCTGAGATTGGGAGATGAAGTGGCATTGGGCATTTGCTGTACAAGCAAGAGGATGAGAGTTCAGATCCCCAAAACCTATATAAATGTTGAGTGGGTGTGGTGACCTGCTTGTAATTCCATCAGGGAAAAGCAGACAAGGGATCCCCTGAGGAAGATGGCTAGGATGCCTATAATTATCAGTGAGCTCTAGGTTTGAGTGAGAGATGCTACCTTAAAAAATAAGGTGGAAGACTGATCTTGGAAGACTCTAAATGTAAGGTGGGCATCCACTTGCACACACACATGTGATCCCACTTCCATGTGAATGCACACACATGCACACATACACAACATAGGCATGAAAAAAAGAAAGATAAACTGCATTCCTTTGTGAGCACTGGTACGAGATGTGAGACTGGAGGAGAAAGTGCATAGATCACCCATTATCATAAGGGATTACAGCCTCAGTGGCCATGGCATTTGTGCAGCAGCAATTTGTTTTATACTGGTGACTAGAGTTAGCAAAGTCATCTCACCACACAAAAACTAGGTCACCTGTTGCTAATCTTGAGCCATATTGATTTTCTGCTTCAACAATAACAAGAAAGATTGGGCCATACTGGGAAGATAAACCCTTTCATAGCGCCTGAATATCTAAACTCTCTCAGAACAAAATCAGTCAGTTAAATAAAACATTGTGAAGAGTATCATAAAGACAAGAGAAAACACCTCTGACTATAATGTAAGGGAAGACTCCAGAGTTAAAACCGAGACTGAAGTTGAATTTTTGGAAGAGAGTAATGAGAGAAAAGAATAGCACGGACAGAGGCAGTAACCACATACAAGGGAAAGCAGAGAGGCAGCTGGGAGAGCTTTTGAGAGTCAAATATTCACAGTGAAGTTAGCAGAGCTCATCTCACCCACAGGGAAAAGGGGCACAAGAGGAGACCCAGAGCTCAGCAGGTCAAATCCTAAGTGCCCTAGGTGTCACAGCAAGAGCTTCATCGTTTCAGATACTTCTTCAAAAGCTTTTCTAAGGCATGATTTCACTTTTGTTCTAAAAAAGTTAATATGTGGACAACATGGAGTTTAGACTACTGGAGAAAATAGAGACAGGGTAGTCCAGCTATCACTTCCCTGTCCAAGGGAAGTGATAAACCTGAGTGGAAATGGGATAGGAGGAACACATAGTACTTGGTCAAAGTGAGTGCCTGGTCTGGATCTGAAAAATCCCCTAAGCCCTCGTGTAGTTTGGTACACTGCTGCAAACTTTTTCAGATGGCGCCTGATGGAGACTCAGGTCATTAGTGTGTGCTTGATGGGAGTATTGGGAGCTGGCCTCTTCCTCACATCTTCTCCCCAGTCACCTTGCATGCCATCACAGTTTTCTATTTTATCACAGGCCCAAGGCAAATGGGCTAAGTGATCATGGACTGAAACTTCTGAAATCTTGAGCCAGTAAATCAATCCTCTTTTTAATTATCTGCAGCACTCTGTGCAGCACTAAGTTTCATAGCACAGTGAAAGCTCAATGCTTTCCATAAAGGGCCAATTGGATGTGGTTCTGTGACCTGTCAAGAATTACAGATACAAATAGAAACAATTCCTCCTGTATATGATATTTCCTGATGATGATATTATTGCTCTGCACTAATGTTCTTTAATTAATTCAAATTTTACAGTGTCACATCTAGCTATTTATTACTAAGAAGAAAACATTAACCAACTATTGCATCTCAGAGCAGTGAATCCAAAGGCCCATTCTTTTAACCATGGGAAAAATGCAGAGGTCTGGTGCAAGAGGACTATTTTCAGGAAATTTGTTAGCCAAATGTTAAATAATAAACTAAATTTGAAAGTTATAAAGAAGAGGGTGTATAAATTGCCCCATTGGAAGCAGACTCTGTATACTGGGCAAAAAATGCAGTTGTTGCTGACCACTCTAAAGTTACTCCTTTGTTTCTATGCCTGCAACAAGCATCTGGACCTAAAAGCCCCTACTTAATGCCAATTAGGTTGCTGAAGCACTGTGTTGGCCTAGCTTCCTCAGGTAAAGAGCTGCGGAGTGAATGTTTTAAACAGATGCTCTCAAGTATAAAATGTTGAGTCAAAGAGAGGAGTAAATGTGTTATGAAGGAGCAAACAGGGCCACTGAAAGTGAGACATAGAGGCTGGGGTGTGGCTCACTGGTAGGATGTTTAACAAGCACTTGATAGACTCTGGGTGTGACTTTGAGTTTCAGAAATTTTCAAAAATAGGAAATATATGCACTGAAATGAAGGCTATATAAAGAAACAAATGATTGATAAAAAGAAAGAATTGTGCAGTAAATAAGGTCACTAAAGGGGAATGAAAAATTAACAATTACCTTCAGCAGCCAAAGCGAATATTGGTGCAAATCTGTATAATTTTCAAAAAGTAAGATCTGAGAGACATTTCTGCTGTGGTTTCTCATTTAAAAAGGCATGCTTTGGGCTATGGATGGTGATACATGCTTACAGTTCTTCATTCAGATAGATGAGGTAGAAGGATTACAGTTTTAAAGTCAACCTGGGCAACATAGCAAGATACTGCCTCAAAAATTCAAAAGAGGAAGGCAAGGAAGGTGGGAAGGAAGGAGGGACAGAGGGAGGGAAGGAGGGAGGGAGGGAGGGCAAACATTCTAAAGCAAGCTATAAAAATAAAACTTATGGTTTTGCTACTTTCATTTGTCCCGGTTCACACCATAGCAGAAAGTGTAATGGGAGTTCTGTAAGAGCCAAACTCATGGAGTCAAAAATAGTACATTGCAAGTGTGTAACTGGTGGTGAAGTGAAATGTTCCTGGAGGTGACCCAGCTCTCTAAGTGCTATCAACATGGATTGGAGCCTCTTGTTTTCAAAATCCCTTATCTAGCCCCAAGGTAATCTGTGTATATGAATAGAGAGGTAAAAATCCTTACCAACATGTTGGAGAGATGACTCAGCAGTTAAGAACACTGGCTGTTCTTGCAGAAGACCTGGGTTCAAATCCCAGAACCCCCACATGGCAGCTAACAACTGCTGGTAATTCCAGTTCCAGAGGATTTAGCACCCTCTTCTGACCTCCATGGGCATTGCAGGACATGGGTGCACTTACGTACATGCAGGCAATACACATGTACACATAAAATAAAAATAATAAATATAATATTTAAAAAACTCCTTACCACCCCATCTTGCCTGAGTTCCAACATCCACAATGTCTCATCATCATACAGACTGTCATTAGCAGAGACTCTCTTTTCCGTTGGATCACACTGTGTTGAATGTCAATGCTATTCTGCAGTTCTCAGCAAATATTACATGTACATAGATTCTTGACTGGAATTTTATGTAAACAGTCTATATTACATGATATTAACACTGACAATTTCTAAATATGGTGGTTTGAATTTTCCCCATTGATTGAGCCTTAAGTCTAATTAAACAACTTTTGATTAGTCCCAAGATAAAAGTGTCATTATTGCACCAATAGAAATATTTTGCTGGGTTTGCAATTGTTGTGGTTCATAGGTTTTACATCTGGATAGAATCAGTGATTATTTTTCTCTTTTGGGAGCTTGTACAGTATTCTCTGATACTATGAAAGCTAGTCTTCGGGGAAGCAGCTTCCAGGTCATTTCCAGCTCTATGCTCCAGATACTGTGTCCAGAGTCGTGTCTTCAACAATAGGGTCTTTCAACTTCCGAGAGGCAATCGATGGCCGTGGAAATAGTCCATATTATTTTGGTTATCTCCTTGACCACTCTGACCAACAAACTCTAAGGCAGTTTCCCTTACCTGGTACTGTTATTATTTTATATAGTCTTCAGCCATACACCTGAATTCATTCATTTTATATTTTTTCAGTAAGCTTATTAAATAATACATGTTAAAAATATGGAATGCTTTACAAATTTGTGTGTCAGCCTTCCATGGAGGCCATACTAATCTTCTCTGTATAGTTCCAGTTTTATTATGTATGCTGCAGAAGTGAGCAAAATAGTTTTATTTTTAGGGGAAATGCAAACCATAATAATATTCTGGAAGATTGTTCTAAAGAGAAGAAAAAAAATATCTGACATAAAGTCCTTATTTCCAGGCTGAACTGGTGATGGAAATGCATGAATACAAGATCTCCTTAGAAATATGTGAACGCTAATGGTAGACAAATTATAAACCTACGGACGAGAGGAACAAATAAAGATCTGATTCCTATGTATAACATGGACATAGAAGAAAGTGGAGAATTATCTGCAAATTAATGATATAAATATTATCCCAACATAATATAATATTTAGCCATTTGTGTTACAAAAATACATTTTAGAATATGCCCAAATTCAGTTACTATGTCTCTCGTGAATAAAAGAAAGATAGTATTCTAGCTTGCTCTTCTGTTGCATGTCACTCAACAATCAAGAAAATGCCACACAGACATACCCACAGGCAGGTCCAATAATGGAAATTCCCCTAGTAAGGTTCCCTTATCCCAGATGTGTCAAGTTTACAGCTGAAGCTGTCTAGCATAGGTGATGATTGATAGCTGAATGATAGATGATAGATAGGCAGATGATAGATAGATGGTGATGATGGATGATAGATGATTGATAGAGACAGATGATAGATAAATTGATAGATAGATAGATAGACAGATAGATGATAGATAGATAGATAGATAGATAGATAGATAGATAGATAGATGATAGAAGATAGATGATTGATAGATGATAGATAGATGATAGATAGATAGATAGATAGATAGATAGATAGATGATGGATAGATAGATGATAGATAGATAGATAGATAGATAGATAGATAGATAGATAGATAGATGATAGATAGAGATATGATAGACACATGGTAGATGATAATTTACATTATATAAAAAAGATTCAATAACTTAGGTTAACTGGGCAGGTAGATAGAAACTTATATTAATGGATATTCATCCAAGAACTCAAAAGCAAGGATGTTGGGAGTTCATGAGCTCAAAGCCACCAGATAGCCTGCAGTATTCAAGACACCAGAGCCTACAGATGTCTAGGAAGTTGGTATGGGGACAAGGAATTGATTCTTCACAGACAGGAGATGTAAGTTTCATAAGCAGTAATTGGTTGGTATAAAGATACTAACTAGAACGAAAAAGCTTCTAACCTTAGGCTTTGTTAAGGAGAAAAAAAAAGAACCAGAGTTATGACATTTTTCCATAGCATCCAGTTAGATGTCATAAAATCACTACTGCACCTCAGTGAGAAGATCTGTACCCTGCAATTTGCTGCACCAAAGAGGAAGTTGAGATGGATTAGGTAGTGTGATGGACGATTGCAAGGGGACTGTTCTTCCTCTTGAACTCTCCATATCAAAGTAGTCTGCATATACCATAAAAACACAGTTTTAAAAATTAAATACAATGATAATTTTTAAATTCTGAACGTTTGAAGTAACACTGAAAGAATTTAAATTAGGAAATAAAATCAATGCAGTAAAGTGAAAGGACAGATTACAAGATACAAAAATGGACAGTAGAAGTAAGTTAAAAGAGGATAAAAGTCTTCGCAGGAGCAGAACCTCAGTACCTTCCACCTGCAGAGCATGTCCTTGACCTCAAACTAGGCACCAAGGCAGCCACCCATTGGCAGGTGTTCTGAGTAATATTTTCTTAGTGTTAAGAACCATTTCTTCTCATTTTAGTCCCAACACCAAAACAAGAAAAACAAAGTATGAAACTCCATAAAGTGGAAAAAAGAGGTTTAACAATGTAATAGCAAAGCAATTTGTTTTAAACAGATATATCTTGAATCAAAGTAATTGATAAAAATAGATGCCACATGATTCTACAACTTTTTTTTGAAACAGCTTATCAAGTTCAGAACTGAGTTTTAGAAAAATCTCGAGAACTTAAAGGTAGATCTCATCTTTTTGTGTGCCTAGAGTTGTTTGAATAATAAGCAAATCTTTATAGTTCATCTAGCACGCAGAATCTTTAAACAACTGTTGGACTGAGAGTAATGATCACAGGGGAAGTCTGGGGTGCGTATAGTAGAGAGGAGGCCATGCTCATCCCAAGTCTTTACATGAATGGAAAGACTGCAGTGAATTCCATTTGTCTGTATAATTCATATGTATTAATATGTGAGTTTTATATCCCATAAAAACTATCCAAATTCTGCAATGCCTATTTATACCAACTTTTAAATACATTGAGAATTGTGAAGTGATATTTTTAAGGGCATGCATTTATAATATTTTATTTAAACTTTATTGAGAATTTTATGTGTGAATAATGTATTAACATCACTTCCATCTTCCTAACTCCTTCCAACTCCTCCTATATTTCTCCCACTCAATTTCCTGACCTCTTTTTTCAATTATTATTGCTACATCTCTCTCTCTCTCTCTCTCTCTCTCTCTCTCTCTCTCTCTCCCTCCCTCCTCCTGGTGTGTGTGTGTGTGTGTGTGTGTGTGTGTGTGTGTGAGAATAACTTATTGAGTCCATTTAGTGGTGCTTATATGTACATGTCTTTAGAATGAACCTAAAGTTAGGACTAGATAACCAACCTGGGAGCTATTCTTGGAAAAAAATTGTTTGTTTTTTTTTCTCTCTCTCAGCATCCATTGATTGACGGCAGCTCTTCATCTAGGGGCAGGAACCTGTGAAATTTTCCCCATCCAAACTGGCATGTCAAATGGTAATGTCACTATGCACTTCTTGCTCAGTCAACCAGATTGTTGAGATTCCACAGGTGCATCATCCCTGTCATGTCTAGAAGACACTATCTAGCAGTAGTTCTGGTCCTCTGGCTCTTAGAATCTCATTGTAACCCCCATTCCGAGCCACTCACCCCACCCCATATTTCCTCAGCCTTCCATGTGGAATTTCATTTTAAATTTATTGACTGGGAATGGGCATCTGTAAAGTCACTTATTCTCTACATTTTGACTAGTTGTGAATCTCTGTTATTGCCTCCATCTGTTACTGAATCAAACATCTTTTTTTGGTAATTTTTAATTGAATTTTTGTGTATTTCATACAGAACATGTTAATCAGTCTTAATTAGCTTTATACCCCCTTCTCCATTGGCATACTCCCACAGTCCCCCACCACTGGAATTCATACATTCTATCATTTGTGTTAAGGCTTATTGTGTCGAGTTAGTGTCCCCAGATGTCCCTCAGTGCAAGTTTATCCATTGGGATCTAGGCAGCTTATCTAGAATCACTTCCTTTAAGAGGATCAGCTCTTCCTCACCCAGCAGTAATCAGCTGCCAATAATTCTTTGACTAAGATTGGGACTTGCTGCACATTTCCACAGTTCTTTTCTGGGGTTTGTCTGCTTGAGTTTGCATAGGTCTTGTGCATGCTGACACCATTGCTGTAGGTTCATATGAGCAAGGTCCCAGGAGTTCGTAGAACTCTATTTCCATATGATCATACACTTCCTCCCTGGATCTTACAATTTTTCTTCCTCTTCTAAAGCAATGATCCTTGAGTCCTGGGTGAGTAGAGTTTAATATGAGTCCTGTCCAAGGAGCCACATTTTGGAGACTTTTATTCCCTATACGTTGGCTTTTTGTGTTTCTGGCCCTCTCTTGCATCAGGGAGCTTCATTGATGAGAATTGAGAGATGCAATAGTGTCCTCTTTACCATTTGTTCTATGTTCCGTGAGCCTTAGGTGTGGAGGTTGCATTGTAGATGTGCCACTTAGGTTTGGGCAATTCACAGCTAATGTTTGTGTGTGACCAGTTGTGGAACTCTGTAATAGCCTCTCTTGCAAAAGAAGCTTCTTCAGAGAGTAGTGACTGGGATACTTGCCTGTAAATATAAGGATCCATATTTTCTACATAGTAAGAAATTACATTTGTTTACGGATGTGACAGCCTTCTGATTTTCTCTAAGATCTAAGACCTCTCCAGCCATGTATTTTGGCTATGTTTATAGTACCACATATGAGTTTCATTGTGTTGAGTGGGCTTTAAATCCAATTAGGTCGTTGTTAATTATCCCCAAGATAAAAGTGCCACACTGCACACATGTCATTCTGGACCATCCATAGATATTCTCCCCTTAGCAGTTTGTGTAGTGCTCTCCAAAGCCTCAGGGGAGGTGGCTTCTAGGTCAGTTCCAGTTTCATTACTCCAAAGCCTGTGTCCAAAGTATGTTCTGTCTTTAGCAATAGGGTCTTACCTTCAAGTTCTGAGAGGCAATCAAATCTCTGTCTTAATTGCTTATGTAATTTTGGGAGTCTCCTGGACTACCCTGGCCAAAACTCAAAGGAAGGTTTCTCCTGTTTGGCACTGTTTCTTGTTATGTAGCCTATAGCTATACACATGGACTCATATAGAGATATTGTATGTGTAGTTTGTCAATAGGATTTTGGACTAATATGATTCTCTCTGTTTTTTTACAGTAGCTAGGCATTACTTATCTCTCTTCTCTCTCTCCCTGTCTAACCCTCCCTCTACAGCCTCCCCGTTGAAAACATCATTTTCCCCATTTCTCCTTTGATAATACCAGTCTCCTATGGTCCCACCTCTCTTGAGCTCCATCTTCCCCTTTATCTCCATAGTTCCTTATATAACCCTCTCTCCCCCTCCCATTTAAATACATCCATTTTATTCATTTCTCCATTAGTGACATCCATCTCCTACTGTTCTCTCTCAGACTCTTTCCCTTTACCTCCCTGGTTCCCTTCCATTTTGGGGGTTCTTGCAGTTATATCAAGATATATACTCACATATAAGGACTTGGTACTAGGATCCACAAATGAGGGAGAACACACATTTGTTTTTCTGAATCTGTGTTACTTCACTTAGTCTAACAGTTTCTAGTTCCAGCCATTTACCTGCAAATTTCATGATTTTGTTTGTCTTTATCACTGAATAGAACGCCATGGTAAAAATGTACCACATTTTCATTATCCACTTGTCAGTTGAGGGGTACTTGGGTTGCTTCAATTTCTTAGCTATTATGAAAAGAGCAGTACAAACATGGTTGTACAAGTATTCTGCAATAGGATGAGTTCTTTGGGTATATAAATTGAAGTTCTTTGATGAGGGGTGAGAGCTACACTTATCTGTGGGGTTAAGAATAAATTCAGGGCATGCTTTTTAATAGTATTATGAAAAGATTTACAAATATATGTGAAAGCAAAACTTTGACAAACTGATCTTTATCTCTGTTTATCCATATATTTAATTTTTTTATTTTATGTATATGAATGTGTGTGAGAGCCTGCATGTGTGTGAGTGCATCCATGTCCTGCAATGCCTGTGAAGGTCAGAAGCAGGTGTTGGAGTCCCATTTACAGAGCCGTTACAGATGGTTGATAGCTGCCATGTGGGTCCTGGAAATTGAACCCAGGTCCTTTACAAGAGCAGCCAGTGCTCTTACCACTGAGACATCTCTCCAGCCCCTATTTATCCATATTGATATGCCAGTCACCAAAAGAATGTGACAGTTGTCTTTTGTATATTAGAACAAATCTTCCAAAATTCTAATAACACAAGATAGATGATAGAAAAAAAAATACACATTTTCAAACTTCTTGACTGATTCAAATTTGTACTATTACAAGTTGACTGAATGAGGATTGTCTGCTTATTTTATGGGGTTATTGAGAGTAGGATTAATAATATGAAATATATATGAAATATATGCTTATTTCACTTGTCAGGGAATTACACTGAAGTTGCTTCATGTTCTCTCCCTCTCCCTCTCCCCCTCCTCCTCCCCTTCCCTATCCCTTTCCCCCTCTCCCCTCTCCCCTCTCCCATCTCCCCTCTCCTCCCCTCTCCCTCTTTTTCTTGGAGACTGGACAGCAATACTTTTGTCTGGTTAAAAAGGATGTGTCACAGCATAGTTCCTTTTCCTTTGCCTTATTTTACTGTCTCAGTAATCGTCTGTGGAAGATATTTTTACATCCACCAGGGAGACAGGAGACTGAGTCTGAGCCACAGTTGAGTGGATCACACAGAGGTAATGGTGACTAACTGAGGTTGACTTCATCGAGTACAGTTTGCTGTGGGTGTTCAGTAAGGCATAGATGCATAGACACAGTGAGCCAGTCAGTCTCTGTCCTTAATCCTAATTCTGAAAACCTTGGCTCTTAGTCTTTATGTCTAAAAGAACATTCATCAAAAGACCCAAGCTCAGAAAGAGGCAATCTAGGCAGAGTAATAAAAATCACAGGTTTAAAGGAATAATTTGTATTAATGAAGTTTCCCAGGCTACTTTTCACTTGGATTTTCAAGCCCTAACTCTTTCTTCCATGGTTGCCTTACTAACTGTCTAGATTTATGACCTAGGAGTTTTTAAATTTCATTTATTAGGCAATAAAGTATATTTGGGAATTAATGTCTCATATTAATTTTTCAAGACCAAGTCCTCAGTATTTAGCCCAAAGTACTTGAATTAGAGGTATTTGCCACCACACCCAGTTTATTTTAACTTTTGACTAAAAACTTTACCCATTGCACGTCTAAAGACTCACAATCAAATTAAATGCATGTAACAGTGAGACATTGTCTCAAAACCCCAGGGAAAAGTGTCCAGAGTTGGCAGAGAAAATTCCTCCAGAATTTAGAATATTCTAGAGCAGGTAACAAAACAATAGGTGAAAGTTTCAGAATCTAGTTCTAGAGCATGCTAGCTAACACACCAAAGTTAACAGAGAACAAGAAAGTGTTCACAGATGTCTTGAAAGCACAGGGACTCTGTGGAAGGAGTTTCCCTAGAGCCACCTCCCAGAGCCATGCAGCACCACGGCAGCAAGGTTTCCCCAGTTTGAAAGCCTGAGGTCCAGAAGGTCAGTATTTTGCTTAGTTTTTGTCAGTGACTAGAGATTTGTAATCAGAGGGTGGGAGGAACTAAAACTAGCACGCAAATTCCCCAATGGGTGGAGTTTGACCAGTTCTTTGAATTTCTCACCCTTGGGTCTGCCTGGAGAGGTCTAAAACGTCTCAAACTGGCCCTGAGAGCTATTGGAAGCTGAGGACCGTATCTAGATCTGAGCAGGTAAGCACCGAGGCCCTGATGTGGCTCAAAATGTGTAGATGACAAATGTTCCTTCAGTGGTTTCTTTGTTTTGTTTTCTTTCCAAATAGTAGTTCTCTCGGTCGATGTCCTTCCTGAGGTGCTTTGGAAATCTCTTTTGCTGGTTCCTTCTTCTCTGTGTCCAAATTATCTTCAAAATAAACTGGCATGGCCTCCCTAAAAAACCTCACCTCTAAACGAAGGAAAAAGGAAGAGACCTTTAATAGCAAACAACATGTTGCAATTAATCTACTAAACTTGGTTACATGCAGCAGTTTGAGGTTAATTCTGCAAGTACTTTAGTTTAAATAATTACTTAGGCCAAAATCCGGATGGGGAAAAGATGTATTGCAATAAGCTTTGCTTCCTGTTTTCTGGTAACTAGTTGTCCCATGCTGCTATTAGTCACATTAACGGTTTGTAGAAGTGAAGGTGTCTCCTTTTCAGCAGCTTTCTTCCCCTTTCATTTTATGAAATATTTGCCTAAGAATAAAAGTCCATTCACTTTTTTCTGTGTTCAGTAAAGTTATTTTTGTTGCCAGCTTTTTATTTTGCAGGTGGTAGGATGTTACTTAGGTGCTAACTGTGGAGCAAATGCCTGGGTTTTTCCTGCCCAGTTCAGCTAGTTGTGCTGTGATGTTCCTTAATTCTCAATGACACAATCTTACAGAAACTTGCTTTGTTCACCTATATACAAAAAGTTTACTTTCTCAATGAAGAATGACATACTTTATGGTATTATCTTTACCAGCTTCTAAACTTTGAACTTGGTATACAATTTGCTCATTTCAGAAAGAAAGAGTCAACAGTTTGCTGTGTAAAGATTAACTATTGAGTGCTCTGTCGTTTATTTCACTATTTAACCTTAGAACAGTGGGTCAGAAGATGATCTGCAACTCGGTGATTCTTTATAAACTATCAGCTTTTTAATAAGCATAATCTTTAGCTTTCTAAATAAAACCATGAAGACAGTATTTTCAAATACTAAATTAAAGAAAATGTCAATCACTATCAAAACACATATTAAGTTGATATAAAATACATATTATTTTTTGATAATGGACTTCATAACTGTGATTTGATGTTAACCACGTTCTCCTAAAGAAAGTAAAACTCATATGATAATGCCAGAAGAAGGGGTAGGGGACTTGCAAGAGACCACGTGGTATATTAGTTTACCTTTCTAAAATTAAACCATACTAACTATATGAAATATAAAATTTGAAGGTTTTTATGACCTTGGATTTCATGTGTTCGTTTTAAAACAAATCATGTTAATTTACTTGTAAATGATAAACATAAACAAGGCATAAAATGATTATTTCTAAGCAATAGTCATTGTAGCTGGTGGTATGAGTGCAGAATTTCAGCAGCAATTACCATTAGCTAATAAAGTGCTCTCTCCTACAGTGAGGGCAGGAATGTGACATTTCTCTTTATTGGAGCTGTGTGTGGAGGGCTTGCAGGGAAGGAGACATTCTCTGGGGAAAGAGTACCTTGTCCAGTAACTCATCCTACCTCAGGTGTGACAAGCCCAGATGTGGAAACAAAAACATTTTTGCCTAAGGGGACTGGATTTTAGAGGTTTTCTTTGTTTTTTTGTTTTTTTAAATAAAGGCAAAAAGTATGTAAATGCAATTCTACTTCTAAGAAGCTGAAGGAGGAGGATTGTGTGTTTCAGGCCAGCTTGGGCCATAATAAGA